TCACTTTTAAAATCTTTCCCTTCAGACGCCTAAAAAATGTCCATAACGTATCCTATAGAAGTCTTTAGGACGTCTGACGGGATATCCTCAGGATGTCATGAGGACTAGAATTCGGGAATCATTTGCTATTCCTCAGGACATCCAAAGTATATCCCGGGATTTAATGGGGATATTCCCAGGATATCCCGGTTGTCCGTCCTGGGTGTCCTTTGGATTTCCCGAGGATGTCATTGTGCTATCTGGGAGCGTTTTCGAGATGTGGCTAAAATATGAAAATGGATCGACGATTTTATTGCCTCCAAACCGACATCTTTTTTTTTCGCAAAAGAATCCGAAACCTGCCCGAGAAATGGCAGAAAGTAACAGAAAACGAAAGAAAATATTTTGATGACTGAATTGTATTGCACATATATGTGTCTAAAGCGAAAACGTGCGAAAAAATTTAAATTTTTGTATACACGGATATATAAAATTTTGGTTGTTTTTCAGAAAAAATATTTAAAATTTTACTTCAATGTAAAAAATTGAAGACGGAGATGATTAGTAATCGGAAATACGTTTTCAGTTTTATATTGTGTTAAATTTTGTTAAACTTTGTTATACTTCTTTGCTAATATATTTATATCATTTTTGTAAATAGTTGGATGCAGAAGATGATGACGATGACGACGATGATGATGATTACAATGAAGAGAATTTTGAAACAAGATTCGAGGAAGAAGATGAAGCTTGCAACTATTGGCAACTTAAAAATTACAATTTTGGTACTCGAAAAAAAAGTATACGAAACGGGCATAAGGATCATGAGCATAGGGATGACGATGAAGTGGGATCTGCAAATCCTTGGCGAAAAACTGGCGGACTTCGTCTAACCAGGAACGAGTACCACCGATTCTGTGATGCTCAATTAGAATGTAATTGTTTTAAATAATGTTTCAACCTTCTTCTTATTTTTTTCGATGATTATAATCGTTGATCATAATTCTCATATTAACTCTTCTTGTTATCTGTTTTAACCTTTTCTTTAATACCTCTCTTTCTTGATACAATATTTACTTATATAAGCTACATAGCGTAATATATAATCGACTTTAGAAACGAATTCTTTTATCAACTTGGAATTTATTTTTCTTTAAAAATTTGAAAATTTTTTCACAATTTCTTTAATAATTAATTTACGAGTTTTCTGCTATATTTTTTCTTTAGCGAATATCGTCAGTAATTTAATTATTCTTTAGTATTCTGAAGAAGCGAGTAATAGAGATTAGATAAATAATATCTAACTTTCTCAAAGAAAAATTAATTAAAATTTATTAATAAAATGCTAACGAAGAAATTATTTGATTTCAAATCTTTGATTTTTTAAAGAAATGATTGTTTCACTCTTGTCTGAAATTGATGAGAGAAAATTTGTTTCTGTTCGTTTATTTTATTGGTAGAAAAAAATGTAAATATGCATAAAAGATCAGATATTATCGATTTTATCACTACTTAAATATATTGTAAGGGAGGTTTTTCTGAGTAATTCTACATTAAAAAAGTGGGGGATGGCATTGGTTTAGAAGAAATAGCAAATTGAAGTTTCACAATTTTAATACTTTTTTTAGATATCATAAAGTAATATTAGTTTTAAGAGAAGTAATTTGCTGATATGTGTAGGTATATAGACAGTACACGTGTAGATAATTGAATAGAAGCAGTTTAGGTACGTTCCCCACGAATTCTGCGGGCCAACTGGATGTCCTTGGGCATGATAATGATTCTCTTGACGTGAAATGCGCAAAGATTGGTGTCCTCAAATAGACCAAAGAGGTAGGTCGCTTCTTGCAGAGCCATAACAGCCGAGCTCTGGAATCGGAGATCGGTTTTGAAGTCCTTTTACGTACCAATCGCTGGAATGGGAGCTTACAGATTAGAAGCTCCGTGCTCTTCTGGTAGCGACGAATCTCACGAAGCGCAACAATTCCAGGGTGATAACGATGCGGTTTCTTGACCGGTTGCAGGAGCGCTTTTACGGGTTGCCTTCGTCGCCAAATGTTTGTGCGGGGCCTTGCCTCCGGTCGACTTGCGAAGACGTACTTTACATTTCCCGTCTGCATGGTTCTTGTCATCTTGAACAAATCCAAATGCTGTCCGTATGATACGAGCTATAGCGGTAGCCTCTCCCCCGCAAGCAGGAGTGGATAGGGGTGGACCTTGGTTCGCGTGGAAAGTTGGAAATCCGTTTTTTCTTCTTTCTTTGCTTTGTGTGAAAAGTTTCATCGTGTGGAAATGCTCAATATCTGTAATAACAGAAATAAACTAACATAAGTAACAGAAATAATTTGTTAAAGCAGAGAATAGTTAGTATATTGAAAAGTACATATACAATTTTGTATTAAAAAGTATAAATACAACGTAGTCTTTAACGATGACACAAACATAAATTGTTGTTTTCCATTATTGTACGCTTTCACATGGGTTTGCAACTTTTTACCTACCTCCGTCTACATGTGTATTGTCTATACATACATATATGAACAAATTACGTCCTTCAGCATTAAAATTGCGAAACTTCAATTTACTATATCTTTTAAACCAATGTCATCGGGAGTTTTTTCTTGCGTAGAATTACTCAGAAAGACTTCCCCTACAACATATTTAAGTGGCGATAAAATCGGTGAGATCTGACTTTCTATGTATATTTGCTAAAGAATGAATGTTTTAATCTATCTAATGATGTTTTCGGTCATACTGAGTTTAGCTTATTCCAAGAATGATTAATAACATTGTTTCTGTCTTATTAACATAATCAAAAGTGGTCGAAACATGAAACAAATAAAGATAAATTATACTTGTTTTAAAAATTCAGCTTCAAAATATATTTGAAAATAGTCATATAAAACTTATCCTTTTGATAAAATTGAAGTTTATTCGATTGCAGCTTATGATTTGGCGACGCAATGTCCTTCTCGGAGGGCATCTGCGAGAAGACACGCTGCAAAATGCACTATACCGTTAACATCATTCACGGGGACGACATCCCTTCCACAGTCGAGGCCGCAGAGTCGGCAGCACGCCGGTCTCACGGACTCGACGTTGAGTCAAGGTCCAAGTCCCAACATTAGCCTGAATCCCAGCCCAAATTGTAGTCCACAGCCACGAGCACCGAGACAACCACGACGGGCACATACGATTGCACACGAGAGTAAAAACGACAAAGCTCATAGTGATGAGTGGGAGGACGATATTGATAAGGTAAGGAATGCCAAGTCTATACTGCCCCCTTCCTTTTTTAAACTAAACTTTGGAGACACTCGATGTCAGGTTCGCAAATATTTTGAATTGAATAGTGTAATGTGTTCTGTAGTTTTTGATGATTTTACTCTAATTCTTATGAAATAGGGGTAGAAAAGACTGAAGAAAAAATTGTTTTTTTTTTTTTAGTTTTTGATGCCAATGTGTTCTGAATGTTCTAAAACGTCGGAAAATCGCATTAAAAAAATGTCCCCGCGCGCGCGCGCCTGTGTGTGTATCAGTATATATACACATTTATCTATAACTCAAGAACTAATCAACCAAATCTTAAAGAATTATATATAAAATAGGGATAGAAAAGACTGAAGAATATAATAGATTTATAAATAGCCCGATATTTCAAAATAGAATTATAAATGGCCCGATATCTCAAAATAGAACTCTACTGCCTTTTTACGAACGTATAACGTTTAAAACGGCTTTTATAGTGCTCTTATAAAGGTTAATACTCAATACGGCTAATGGGCCAGTTGAGATCGAGAATAATCCATTCGTATGTATGTACTTGGCCGGGAATGAACATTTTTTTAAAGAATCTCTATATGAAATTGTTTGTATTTCGTATGAAGACTTTTGAAGTGCAATTGAAAAAGTTTGTGAGTCATTCGTTTAATTGTAATTAATTATTTATTTTTACACCATGCATTTAGCCGAAATAGATAAGTTAATAAAAGTTTTTATATGGAATCGTTTATATTTTATATGAAAATATGAAGTGATTAAAAAGGTTTGTGACTCACCCAGATAATTTTAATTAAATATTTATAAACTCGGTAATTAGCCGAAATACAGATTTTTAGTTATTCATGTTGAAAGAAGAAGGCGCTACTGTTTCCGAAGTTCCATTGACTGTCGCACCACCGACATATTTGAAAATTTTGACAAATCGCCAAAACACACGGTATGTCCCACAGATCGAATGTTTTAAATTCAAAGTTGAAAAGAGATACCATTGTGGCAAACCCAACAAGGTCAATAAAAAAAATGATACAAACATTTTTTTATATTATATATTGTGTATATTGATAGTAAGTCAAAATAATAATGTGTGAAATAATACTGCCAGTTTTCACGATGCTAGAAACATATGGAGGGGTAAAAGCCATAGTGGTGTAAGTCAAATTTTTTTAAATATTGACACATTACTATGGTTTTTACCTTTCCATATATATATATACACACATATATATATATATATATATATATACCTTCCTCTCCTAAATTCATTCTGGTTCCTTACCAATTTATTTTCTCGTTCCGTCCACCAAACTAGTCGCTCGTTCACCATTTTTTCCATAACTTTACCAACGCAGGATGATAATGCAATTGGTTTTACTTTCTTCTTGCCTACTTTGTCTATAAACATTGTCTGATATTGCCTCCAGTCTTCCGGGAACCAATCTGTAGTCCAAACTTCATTACAAATTTCAAACATCACGTCTTCCATTTCCTCAGTCATATCTTTCAGCATTCTATATTCTATTCCGTCTCTTCCTGGTGCCGAATTTTTTCGAATCATTTCTAATGCTCTTTTTAATTCTTCTCTTGTAAACTTATCTTCCAAGCTGTCTTCCTTGTATGTTTCTCCGTCCTGGCCCATCATTTTTGTTTGAACACTTGGTGATACTAGTTTGTCAATCTCTTTTCTAATTTCTTCCTCTCTGCTTTTATGAGTCCAACTATTCCAATTAATCTTCTTCCTGACGTTTTTAAAAGTTCTCATCTTATTCTAAACATATGTCTGGCTCGTAAATCTATTGATTGATGCACAGAATTTATCAAAACACTCTCTTTTTTTGCTGTTGATGATCTTCTTCGCTTCCGCTTTTTTCTTATTATATTCTACCAATGAATGTAAATCCTTCTTCTTTTTGAAGTTCTTTAGTGCTCTTTGTCTTCTAGTAATTGCTTCATCACAATCTACATTCCACCAAGTAACTTTTCTTCCTCTCGGCTTTTCCGCATTTTTTTTTCTATTCTGTTGTTCTTTGCTCAGCTGCTTTCTTTGTTTACCGTCTTCCGTGATGTTTTTAATTGATGTCTTAATTACATTAATAAATGCCGAGTATTTATCTTCTTAGTTGGTATTACCTCCAAACAGTATATCTCTGTATTCGTCTATATTTTCCTTTATTATTTTTTCCATCATATCTTTGTATTCCGTCCATCTTGTTTTTTTGTAGAAAACTTATTAGATTTTTTAATATAACTTTCTATTTCTGTTGTTATTCGTACTTCCACTGGAAAATGATCCGAATCCCAAGTGTCATTCAATTGTTTATATTCCATATCCTCGCTTATTTTAGTCGTAGCAAAAACTAGGTCTAAGTTGTTTGAGTGTTGACCTATGGCGCCTATTCTTGTTAACGTATTTACATTGATACAGATATAGTCCTTATCATACATTGTCTCCGTGTTGGTCAATGTCATAGCAATTCCATAATGTGTGATGGGCATTAAAATTGCCTGCTACAATGGTTTCCAGATCTTTAGTGTCAATGTATATCTTCCCATTCATTTTTCCTCATTTCACTTGGTCTTCTATATACTGCCACTACATTGAATCTCTCCTTTGTGTTGATGAGTCTTACTCCTATAATATCAAATATATTATTTACCTTTTGCCAGCCGTTTATTACTTCAAATTCGATATTGTCTCTAACACATATAGCCACTCCTCCGTTGTTACTTCTGCTCAATTTACAATGTATTTTAAATCCTGAAATATAAATATTATTTTTATTACTCTTAGTTTTAGTTAATATTATTATATCATATTCTAATGCTCTTTTAATAATCTCATTTTTCTTCCCTTGATATCCGCTACAGTTCCAATTTAATATTTTTAAATAGAATATATCAACTTATATTTATAGCGCTGTGAAGTGCTCGGACGAACACCGTCACGCGCCATTTGTCTTCCTTGATCCTTCCTAAATTCTCTCTTGATTTCACCTACGATCATCCTTTGCTTTCTGATTTTTTTATCTAGTTTCAATTCCTTTTTCTTTTGTAAAATATCTTCCTTGACTCTTAGTGCCTCTTCCTGACTCCTAATTCTTTTTGTTCTGGTCCTTGTATTATTTCTTGTAAAATTCTTCTAAATTCCCAATCTTGATCTGTGTAGTAGATCAGCTTGGCGGCTAACCTCGTGATGATATCCCGCTCCCTATTGAGGCCTTCTGGTATGTCTCGTTCTTCCTCCCTATTATTTATTTGTCTTTCTTCCTCTGAAGTGTTTGCTTCTATCTCTTCTTCTGTGGATTCCTTATCCCATCATTCTTCCGAGTGTCTATCTTCCTGTCTGTTAGCTATTCCTCTTTTGTCTTTTGTTATCTCTTCGCTTCTATTATCAAATTGTTTATAATAATTGTTTTGCTTATCTTTCTGTGTAGTCACTCTATCTTTGTAAGTAATTGTTTTTCTTAATTGTCTATCCTCTCTATCTTCTTCATATGTTATTGTCTTTCTAACTATCGGTGGATTTTCCTTTCTTCCCTCCATCTCTCTTCTTGGTGGCGAAAGTTTTGACCATTGCGTTGGTTTGTCATATCTATCGTATGTCTGTTCTGGTTCTTGTTCTCTTCCCTCTAATATTCGTTCTGCTTCCCTGCGAGAGACATTATTGTATATCCCATTATAATATTTATATTTTTATTTTTCTCATATTCTTTGCATGATCTCCATGTAGATCTGTGATTGCCTCCGCAGTTCCTACATTTTGCTGTTTTTGTGCAATTTTCGTGTGCCAATTTCCGCATATGATGCATCTTTCTTCGCTCTTGCATGCCGCCTTAATGTGGCCAAATCTGAAACAGTGGAAACATTGTTTTACTGATGAGATAAAAGGTTTTATTTTTATTGACGTTCTTCGCGCGAACAAGTCCAACTTTTGACGGACCGTATCTCCATTAAAAGTTATAATCAGGTTTCCTGTATCTTCCTCTACAAGTTTCTTTTTTTTAAATAAATAAAAATTAACTACGCTCGTATAAATTGAAAATTAAATAGAAAAAAACAGGCCAATAAACGAGCAATTAAAAGATGTTTAAAAATATATAATTAATTGGTATATATACATAGAAACGGAACGTTTTGACTCACTGAGTCTTTTTCAACGCGAAACGAGAAAGAGCTTTACATAGCACATTTTACGTCCTGTCGAATACATGGAAGTTTCAACGGTTTTATACTTACGACAATCATCTCAGTTATACACGATCTTTACAGAACAACCTTTTTATATTCTGACCACACATTCTGAGAACAATTATAAACCGGACCCGATTAATTCTCGCCTCCGAACGAAGAATCAATTACGCAATTCCACTGACTACATTTCATCTCTGACTTTGACTTCGTTAGATACATCGACATAGACTCACAATCAGTATGTATTCGTTAGACAATCGAATGGTGATGTGGCTCGATAGGCTTTTATAATATTATTGTAACACGACGAATTCTACATGTTAATTAATCACCACGGCTGAAGAAGACTCAGTGAGTCGAAACGTTCCGTTTCTATGTATATATACCAATTAATTATATGTTTTTAAACATCTTTTAATTGCTCGTTTATTGGCCTGTTTTTTCTATTTAATTTTCTTTTCTTTATTGTCCCACTTTTTCCTATACATACGTCCAATCTTCACTATGTCTCTCTCTCGTTGTGATCGTTTATTGAATCCCATAAATCTATTATACTGTTACCCCAATCCGTAATCACTCCAACGAATTTCGATCCTCTCTGATCGATTTTCGCTGTCATTCCTATCTCATCGGAAAGTTTGTTGATAGGTTCTAAACAAACATTAGCATCATTACACTTCTTAAATTTACATATGGCTGCCGTATGTGATAACATTACCATTCCGTCCGGATATATTTTATCTCGTGTAATTACTTTCCAAATTTTATAAAAATTCTTACCTCTTTTCGTTTGTATTCTGTCTTTTTGTAACTTAAGCACCAGTTTATACGTTACGTTGGTCCCTTCGGTGAATTTAACCTGCTTCTGATTCGATAATTCTGATGCATCTAGCTCGCTAACTCCTCTTTCAAGCACCCCCGCACGATTCATGTACTCCTCTCTTGCTTTCCTGTCCACCTCTCTATTATTTTTTGCCATTCTTGTATTGTTATTAACTTTCTCGTTTGAACTCATACCCGCTGTGTTTGCGTGTCGAGTTTCCTCAATATCCACTTCCATCTCACTCGCCGATACGTATCTGGAATCTTCCGTAGTCGTCTCGCCTGATTCGTGCGTATTATCTTCCATGCTGACGTCATCCTTCTCTGATTGGTTGATCCCCTTTTCCTTGTTATTTACCTTCATGGACGCTACTTCTGGTAGGATTTTGGCGCGCTTTTTCTTCGCCATCTTCTTTTCTCCTACTACCTTCTACTCTCCTTCCTTCTGCGAGTATCCCTCTGTATACTTATCGTCTTTATTTTCCATCTCTTTGGTGTCCGCTGCTCTTTTCTTTCCAGCCATTGAGTTTTCCGTTTCGGTATCTAATACTGCATTTACTGCTTTCATCGTCGGCTGGCTAATCCTTTTCCTATACTTTCTCACTATTGAGCCTTTAAACTTGTTCCCCCCTCCAAGGGGGGAAATGTCTTTTTTCCCTTCGTTTTTCCTATTCTTAAATTCGTAGAAAACCCTCAGGAACCCCTAACCTACTCTTGCAATCCTCTAAAAAACCACCGAAACTATTACAAACTTCCGCGGTCACTAGCTAGGTTAAAACGCGTGTGTTCGCTACGGCGGCCATCACGCAACTTGATTAGCGTTAAAGTTTTTTTTTTTGAGGTTATTAACTCCGGTTGGAGTTATAAACGCCTTCAGCCCCACCTTTGGGCTATATAGCGTATTTTAGTGTTGATCTTATTAACGCAGTACTTGTTAGATAATCCTTCCTATCTGTTTAATGAATCTGTATACCACTCCAATTTTAGGCCAGTCCTTTCTCTTGATCAATTCCACTATGTCCTCTGCTGCTCCGTAAATGTTACGTTTCACCAATTTCTCGTTCATCGCTTCCCTTTCCACATCGTACCTACTACACTGCCATATTACATGATTTATGTCTTCTTTTTCGTAGCCGCAGTCGCATCTAGATATATCTATATAGTTCTTTCTAGCTAAAGACTCGTTTAAATTGTAGTGGTTTGCTCTTATACGATTAATGAAAGAATAAAAATATCTCTCCGCTTTAATTTCTTTAAACCAAGGTTGTTTTTTGTTTCTGTCGTGGAAATTTCGAAAGTAATTCTTGCCTTTATATGAACTTTTACTAATTAATTTATCCTGCGTGTTATTCCAAGCTTCTTCCCTAAATATGCTTCTTAAGTCCGTTATCGGGACGGGGATATTTATTTCCGCTACTTCTGACGCACCTACTTTTGCTAATCTGTCTGCTATTTCATTTCCAGTATAACCTCTATGAGCTGGGATCCATCCATAAATAATTTTCCAACCGAATTTAGTTTTTAATCTAGAATGATGTCTTCTAATGTCTAATATAAAGCTACTCTTATATACATCTAGCCTATTGTTTTTTATTGCTTTTAATACACTCTGGCAATCTGATAATATTAATATTTGCTTGTTATTTCTTTCTCTTTGTAGTCCAGTCATTTGGTCGTAAAAGAAGAGGTTACCTGGAAAGTTTTCCGGGAGTTTTGAAAATTGGTAATTTTATATATTTCGATGTGCTCTTTCCGAATTTCAACTTTGCCACCTCGTATCTTTGCCGCTCGTGCCGCCATATTGGAAAAATGACGCCTAAAAGCAGTTTTTTGACAATATCTCCTTTCCGACTCATTCCACGATAAAAACATTGATATACAAAATAAAACTAGAGAAAATTTCCTATAATTTATGTAATAACCTTTTTTCCGTAAAATTAATAGTTTTGGCGTACGAGCGCTGTAAAGTGTAGTTCAACACGCGTTTTGGCTTAAAAACTCATTTCCACACTACCTTGAGGTAGAGTAAGCGGCGCGTTTTTTTTACCGTGGTATCCCCAGTAGGCCTAGTCCACATGCAATTCACTATTCTAAAATTTAGCGCATTCTTCTTCGCTTCACTGTTCTTGATGGACCAGGTGTTGCGAGTTCATCGTCATTAGTACTGATCGAAACGTCACAGACCGAAATTTCTTCCACATCATCCGCGATGGGATTATCATTTTCATCGCAATCCTCTTCGTTCTTGATTTTATCATACGTTTGCTCGAAAATAGTCTCCGTTTCTTCTTCTTCGTCGCTATCTTGTGATGGAACTTGCGAGTTATCACAGGTACCACTACAATTCGTGCATATAACGTGACGTTCGATCAGTACTAATGACGATGAACTCGCAACACCTGGTCCATCAAGAACAGCGAAGCGAAGAAGAATGCGCTAAATTTTAGAATAGTGAATTGCATGTAGACTAGGCCTACTGGGGATACCACGGTAAAAAAAACGCGCCGCTTACTCTACCTCAAAGTGGTGTGGAAATGAGTTTTTAGGCCAAAACGCGTGTTGAACTACACTTTGCGGCGCTCGTATGCCAAAACTATTAATTTTACGAAAAAAAAGGTTATTACATAAATTGTAGGAAATTTTCTCTAGTTTTATTTTGTATATAAATGTTTTTATCGTGGAATGAGTCGGAAAGGAGATATTGTCAAAAAACTGTTTTTAGGCGCCATTTTTCCAATATAGCGGCGCGAGCGGCAAAGATACGAGGTGGCAAAGTCGAAATTCGGAAAGAGCACATCAAAATATATAAAATTACCAATTTTCAAAACTCCCGGAAAACTTTCCAGGTAAAACTACCAAATGACTGGACTATTGTTCTTGATCCTTTTCTAGTTTTTTTAATGCAGTAGCTATTGCGAAGGCTTCCGCTGAGAATGACGAGCACTTTTTCGGGAGGCTGACATAGAAAGCTTGATTTATCTCTTCAAAGACCACGCCGACTCCTGTCGAAGCTGAGTCCTCTGTTCTTGAACCATCTGTATAAACAATCAGGGGGTTATCCAAATTATGTGCATCGCAAAGTTCTTTAATAAAGTCTAGATCATTTTTTCCATATTTCATATCTTCTAGGTTTCTTCTTTTCTTTTCTTTCCTTTTAGCGCTATGTGACTGTCCTATTTCCAACTCTATAGTTATGTCTTCTGTAAGATCTTCGTACTTCATTTCCCATACTTCAAAATTATCTGTTGATTGACCTATATCTTTCGCTAATAGGTTGACTCTATCCCACGCTATCGAAATTATGCTTTTTCTTCTCTGTGGGAATCGTAGCCTATGTATCATTTCTTTATTGCTTAGGTTACTTATACTCCCAGCAAACGCAAAAGGATTAAAAGATATTGAAATTTTTTAATACTTTTGAATCCCTTTTTTGGCGGAATTAGATGAAATTAGATGGGATTCGAAATGAGATGGTCCAATCCCATGGAATCCAAAAAAGAAAAATTTTAATTTCATCCAATCCTATGGAATCCGTAAAGGTTATGGAATTGCATGGCATTAGATGGTTTAGAAAACGTCTCGCGCCTCCGTTGGGCGACCAAGCGCCGTTGTTCGTCGGTGAGCTTTTGTGTATGCCTAAGGGCATTACACGCACTACTGCCGACGGGCAATTAGCCCGAAAATGAGATTTGTAAGATCTGTCAGGCACTGTAGGGGGTCCCTTTACATAGCGGTCGAGACGAAACTTTGAACTCGAGAAGATGCCCCGGCGATGCGACGCCTAGCGGCGTCGACGCGAACTGCCGGTAATGCAGATACCGCGCGGGCGTGTACTATTAGTGGCGCGTACCGCCACAGAGTTGAACACGGACACTTTTTAATCCCTATCTTGGCATTCAATGGTACTCATTTTATTGTCAGAATAGACGGAATTTAATGGAATTCAATACGGAAATTTTTAATTTCTAGTTTGGCATTCAATGGTATTCATTTCGTTAATGGAATCAATGGTATTCAATGGAATTCATCACGAAACTTTCCAATCCCTAACCTGGCATTCAGTGGTATAATATTTTTGTGTCGGAATTGGATGGGATTCAAAAAAGACAAATTCTTTCCAAAATAAGGAATTCCATGATATTGAAACTATTTCAATCCCTTTTTTGGACAGAATGGAATTCGGAAAGTCCTTAATTGAATTCCTGGCAATCCCGTTTTAATTCTTTTCAATCTTTTTTCGTTTGCTGGGCTTCTTTTGATTTTTGGATTGCCGTATTTTAGTATCTTGGAACAGAAGTTTTTTGCTAGCATCAAGGCTCTCTCGCTTAGTAAGTCTACTTTGGCTTCTGCTACTAGCACATTTGTTGGTGTGCTATTCCTAAAGCCCGTCGCGGTTCTTAATCCCAGGAATTGGCCTCTCTCAAGTTTTAATCTTAAAGTACTACTTGTGGGGGCGTACACGAAACTTCCGTAGTCGGAAACTGATCTTACTAAGCTTTTATATAGCATAAGAGCTGTGACGCAATCTGCTCCCCTGGTGACACTATTTAAATATTTTAAAATCGAATTGGCTTTTTCAATTTTAGCTCTTATTTCTTGAATGTGGCCTACGAATTTCAGCTGATTATCCATACGAACTCCGAGAAATCTCGATTCTTCTTTGTTTGAAATTACCACGCCTTTTACCATGATAGAGATATTATCATCTTTGAAGCCGCTCTTCGAAAATTCTACCAGAGTTGTTTTTCTGGGTTCCAAGTCCAAACTAATCAGCTCAAGGTTACTTGCAATAATGTTGACTGCTTCTTCGATCTTCATCTTATTCAGCTTCCTATCAAGACCCGTCCTATACACCACGATATCATCAGCAAATTCTAATTCTTCTACGTCGTCGTCAACATCTACGGTAATGTCGTTAGTGTTCAGAGCATATAATATAGCGCTCAGGACAGCTCCTTGTGGAAGGCCCTTCCTCATTATTCTTTTCAGAGTCACTTTATTATTTACGATGTATTCGACTTTCCTTTCGTCTAACCAGGTGTTGATAAATTTGAAGACTCTACCAGGACAGCCCATCCTTCTTAGTTTGGCTTTTAAAATATGAAAGACAACGTTGTCGTATGCAGATGCCACATCTAGGAATGCCGCCAATACGTATTCTTCACTGAGTAAAGCTGTCTTGATGTTCGATGTAAAAACTAGATTTTCAGTGCACGATCTACCTCTTCGAAAACCATTTTGCATCGGGTGTAATTTCTTCTCTTTCTCCGCCCACCATATAAGTCTTTCGTTTACTAACCTTTCCATTAGCTTGCCCATGCATGACGATAGTGATATAGGCCTGACTTTATTTTTGTTTATCTTATCAATAAATAAGACCTGATATTCTCTCCACTCGTGTGGAAAGCCTGATCCTAACCATATATCGTTAAATATTCGTAGTAAGAATTGTAAAGCTTTTTTTGGTAAATTCTTTATCATTTTATAGTCTATTTCATCCCTTCCAGGAGCTGAATCTTTTTTAATCATCCCAATTGCCCTATATAATTCTGCCTCTGAGAATAACGAATCTAATTCTGTTTCCTCTCTATCGTATGTATCGTCCTCTACTGCCCTCCAAGATACTCCAAATGCTGACAATTTATCAATTTCTTCTCTTATGACTTTTTCTCTATCTCCTATCTGCCACTTATTCCAGCTTATTCTACTCCTAGCTTTTTTAAAAGTTCTCATTGTATTCCAAACGTAAGATAAATTAGAAAATCTATTAATGCTGTTACAAAAAGCTTTAAAATTTTCTCTTTTCTTTTTCTTAAGTACTTTTCTTGTCAAAGCTACTTGCTTTTTATAGTCTATAAATGAATGTAAAGTTTGGAGCTTTCTAAATATTTTCAATTTCTTTTTACGTATTTCTATCGCTGATGAGCATTCTGAATCCCACCATCTTACTTGTTGTTTAATTGACTTTTCTTGCTTTATCTCAATATTTGTGTTTCTTACAAAAGTTTCCTTCCTACCTGTTGCTATATTCACCGCTCTCTTCATTTTATCAGTAAATAAAGAGTATCTCGTCTGGAGATCTTTGCCTATCATGTTTCTTTCTAGTTCCTCTATGCTTTTTTCCATTATATTTTGATATAATGCCCAGTCTGTATTCTTTGTCGACAACCTATTAGTGATCTTTTTAAAGACTATGACCTCTGTATCTATTTCTACTTTTAATGGAAAATGGTCTGACTCCCAAGTGTCCTGAATTTGTTCATAATTAATATAATCAGTTATTTTATCATCCGCGAAAATTAGATCTATATTAGAAGTTATCTGATTCCTGTAATTTAGCCTAGACAAAGTATCTTGATTTACGCATAAGAAACCCTGATTGAAGAATTTTTCCTGTAGATTTTCCCCATTAAAATCCGTATCGTTGCAATTCCATAGAATATTATGAGCATTAAAGTCCCCCATTACAATAGATCCAATTCCTTTTCTATCAAAATTAAGTATATTAGACCAGACCTTAGGGTCTTCCCTACCGGTCGGCCTTCTATACACCGCTATAAGATTGAATTTCAACTGAGAGTTGTATATTCTAATACCACAAATATCAACATTTTTGGAACCAATATACCACTCTTTAATAACTTCAAATTCCATCCTCCTACTAATAGC